AAAGGGATTATTGTACCATGTGGACCCTAAGGTTATGGTTAGGACTGAGGGAACATGTTTAACCACCCATGCAAGGGACCCTGATGCCTGCATTCCAGCAGCCAGTTTTCTGTGCAGAGATTTTGGTTTTAAGACCAGGTACTGTTCACACTGCCTCTTGTTGGTTTAATGAGACACACTTAAGAAGTCAGACCATTTCCTTAGAGTCAAATCCATCGACTTCTGAGGAGAAATTAAGAATGTTCTAAATTAGCTCCTGTCCATGTTTTAAAGATTTTTCTTCTGAGGACACACTGAGCTACCCTCTGCCTTTGTTGAGGGTACTGAATGACAACAGGCCACCTTTTATCTCCCCTGGATGCTAGACAGGAAGCTGGGGTCTTTATTTCTCTCTTCTTTAGCTAGAAACATTTGGATTTCTTAGAACCAGATTTGCTCTAAACATATGAACCTCTATTTGCATCCACTTCCCCATTTCTAAAAAAGAAACCTCAGAAATTTTGAAGGTAAATCTCATCCCTTCAGCTGGGAAGAAAAGCCCATTTGTTCCTCAGAATTATCGCCTGGCTGCCCACTTTCCAGTCTACTGACTTCTCTGAGCTCTGCCCTCCACCATTCCCCAGCACATCCCATCATTGAGTGGCTTCTCATGGGTTAACCAATCTCCCCAAGACCAAGACTGCAAGTTTCCATCACACTTCAGTAACATAGTTTCTCTAAATAGTACTATTACCTTTTTCTATGATATTTTAAGGCTGTAATTTAAGGTAAGGCTGTGTGTGTGTGTGTGTGTGCATGTGCGTGTGTGTGTGTGTGTGTGTGTGTGTGTGTGTGTGTGTGCGCGTGTGTGTGCGTGTGTGTGTGTGTGTGTGTGTGTGTGTGTGTGTGTGTGTGTGTAGGCTTGAAGGAAATTAGCCCCATATTTTATTTCTTTCTGAAAGTGAATTATAAAGATTATTAACCTACTCCTCCATTTTTACTGTTGATCCCCTGTTCATAACAACTGTTGCTTCTGGCAATTTAAAAACAAGTTGTGGCTTGTTCTTCAACGTTTCATTTGTTCTTATTTCATGATGCAGGCATTCACCTTCAGCCACCTCAGAATTATTTTCCAGAATAGGCTAAAGCTCCACCATAGTGCACTGATGTAGAAAGCTCCCTTGTGCCCTGGGAAGGCAGCCTGTATGGAGCTCAGTGCTGCTATGCAAGTTACAAAGGCTATGAGCAGGGTCTTACCCCCCAGGTCTCCACTGTTAGAAACAGACTGATGAGAGGCATCATACACAGAGATCTGTCAGAGCAGAGCAAAGGACTGGTTCCAAAATATTGTATACCAACAGGGAGGAGCCCTCATTCCCTTCATTCAGCAACTTTTTTACAAATGCCTTGTTAATTAACTTATTATATATGTATGTATACATACATTATATATATACATATATATATATATCATGCATCATATATCATGTATATGTAATTTCCTGGGCTGGTGAGATGGCACAGTAGGTAAAAGTGCTTGTTATGCAAACCTGACAACCTGTGCTCAATCCCCAGATCCCATGTAGAAGGAGAAAACTGCCCCCCAAAAGCTGCCCTCTAACCCCCCACATGCTTTTATATGCACACTATTACACACATAATAACATTTTTTTTATTAAATAAAGGTAAAAAAAAGACTATGATAGTTCTTTGTGTTAGGCCACAACTGTAGTTTTTTGCTATCTGAACAGAAACTTATATGCCACTGTATGGTAAGTACCTCTAAGGGAGGACACAGTGTGATCACCAAGCTGGACCACTCCATGGATATAAAGGAATTCAAAATGCCAAGGCTATGTATCTCTCAAGGCATGACATAGCATGAGGGAGTTGGTGGACTGGAAGAGCCTGGGAGCTAGAATATAGGGAAGGGGTTTGCCGGCCAGAGCAGTCTGGGAACTAGGTGGGGACTTCTATCTGTTCCAGTTTGTTTGACAAATAGGGAACTAGATGCCCTGTCACAGAGGTAATTGGCTGTAGGGGTCAGACAAAGGAAGAAATGGATTCTTCTGACACACAGAAATCCACTTTACCCATGTCAAAGGAATGCAAATAAAAGCTTTTGTTTATGTTAACAGTCCTTCTGTCTACCCAGTCAGAGTTCAGCCTGAGCTCAGCCCACATTGCCAGCAGCACTACCACTGGGGAGGGGGGATGTTATGGACCTAAGAGTACCTAGCCCCACATTTTAAGAAGTTAAATTAGGCCTCTGTCTTAGTTGCATTATGAACATGTCCCTTCAGGTCATGTGCTCTTGGTATATAACACTTCAGTCTAGAATCTGGAGCTTCTTCATAGTCACATGTTTTTAAGGGGTAAGCAGGTTTCACACATGAAAAGCAACCTGAACTTGGCAAATTTCTACAGGCATTGATCTTGTGTTTTGATGCTCAGTTTTCTGTGTAGGATACCTGTAGTAAAGAATGATCCCTTCTAGCTATGCTTTTCATTGATGACATTTGTTCAAGCCACAGTCCTGAGATATGTTCCTGGTAAAAGGTCATTTAGCTGATCTTCGCGGTATTTAATGTTTACTGTTAACCTCAGAATGTCAAGCAGATGTTAGGCATGTTGTGGCATTTAGAATAATTTTTCCATAAAATGGTGTATGTGATTGTGAAGCAAAGAAATCCCAGTGTCACCTCTAGAGGCCTGAAAGCTCCATGTCAGGTAGGGACTGGCAATATCCATTTTCAATGTTTGCCTTCTTTCATTGAGAGAACCCTGGGGCATCCACATGGAGTAACAGAGAGGAAGCTTTCCACACTTTTTTAAATATAAGAAACAGTTAAGCCCCCACATAAATTATGGGTTGTGTTCTGAGGGAAGAGTAATGCCATTGCAACAGTGTTAGTCATGCTGATGGCCAGAGGGGAGGAGATACACAGCTCTGGTCCTCAGACCCTGGGAGGGAAAACAAGTGGGGACAGGACTGACTTTGCTACTGCTAGAGCTGAAAGTGAAAGACCCGCGGAGAGCTCAAACCCTCATGCCCCGACTCAGGAAAGGTGCCCCCCCCAATCACTCATGAGAAGCAGTCTTGATGCAAAAGCATGAGGTCTTTTAGATTCCAGTGCACTGGGGTCTGCAGCCATACTACATGTGGGGTAGTAGACTGGGAACCCTGGGTACAGGGTTCAGACAGCTTTTACAGGGTTACAACAAAGTCCGCCATTACAAACCAATCCTCTCATAGCATCCAGTGTGGACCAATCTATTTCAACTATCCAAGCCCGCGCTTTGCCCAGGAAGTATGCTTTTGCTAGGGCTCCTGGGTAATGTGACAACCCGCACTTAGCCCAGGAAGTCTGCTTTCACTAGGGCTTCTGGGTAGTGTGGCACAGCTCATTTCCTGTTCACATTCACTCACAGGTGCTGTCAGTAACCCACCCTGTCATAAACAGTCAAGAATAACCTTTTGCCTACTCACTGCTAGGGGGCAGAGTCTAGGGAAAATTAGGCTAAATTTTTTCATCCTTACAAAAGCTTATGAAGTTCAACAGTAACCCCCAGTTTCCCTGGGTGGTAAGATGTTGGGAGAAAAGGTAGCATTGTTTTCTTACCTGCTTCAAAGGTAAACAACACTAGCAAAAGCCAGACCTTCAGTGAGTTCTTACATGTCTTCCTGTGTTCTATCTGTGATTGAAGTCTCATTCAAAAAGGGAGAAAAGTGGACAGCAGGATGCTAACATGAAAGTAAATTTAACTTTTCAGCAATGTAGATGTCTTAACGATTTCGTTAAATGAGCCAAAGGGCCATTTCAACTTGGAGCACTGAGAAATACCATCCTTCATGACTTTGGAGTCAGCGTGTCTCTCAAGACATCCTTTTCTGGTGGCCTGTGTCTCCCCTGGTACTCCAGAGGATAATTACTTGTGCAGAGTGAGAATTCTTCATTTTGTAGTGATTGGCCTTTTCACACAAAATAACCCATTCTCTGTGATAATCTTTTTCTTTGCCGGGTAAATTTCTATTATAACTTAGTTCAGGTATTCTCTCTGAACTTATTTCCAGCCCTTGAAAGCCCCTCTGCCTTTCAGGTAGGAAGTCAGCCCTTCCCTCTGTTATGGATATTGTCATGTTCACCTTTTCTCATCCTCGCCTTTTATCTGCCACTAACCAGAGTCTTGATTTATTCCTCTGCATTATGACTAATGCTGCATGAGTCTGGGGGGGGGGCACATGAAGGGCTATCAATCTACATGTCTCAGGATAGGGTACCCATAAGAAAACTCATTCCACACCCATGCTGTAAGCTAAAGTTGGGAAATTGCCCACCTCAGACTTCTCTGCTGCTTAGTAATCCTGTTAACTGAGTAGTGACTCATCGAATGCCTTTCTCTGATCTGGCCATAGATGTAATTAGTTCAGATTAGCATTTCTTCCTGTATTCATTTGTGTTCAGCTAAGATTAATGCACAGTTGGAACTCAATATGTTAATGTTAAGTGTAGAAATCTCCACCAAGATATTAGCAGTGGCTAGATTTGGGGTATTTGTGTTTTTGTTCAAGATTTGCTTCAAAAATTCTCCTTCATTGTTTTAAATATATATGCATGCATAGGTGTTCATATATGTGGGAGAAGACATTCCCAGTTTTGAATATAGATGGAGCATGAAGGAGAGAGACACATACAAATAATAAATGTTTTATTATAACTTAAAACCAATCTAGGCTGGATCCAGATAGACTAGCCTGTAACAAATGATGATTTAGAAAAGCAGGTCTGCCAGGCTTATTCTTTGGTCCCCTTACTACGTAGTAGTTTACAGAGTTGCTCTAATCTGCATGGAGAGATGAAAGTGACTTTCCATCTCTCACCCGGATCTTGTCCCATCACTTGGCTTGGCCAAATCTAATAAAATAGTGTGAGCTGTAGGGGCAGCATCTGGAGTTGGTATGTAACAAGCACCAGTTGACCAGGTCAACATGACTTTTCCTCTATTCTTTCCTGTTTCAGTTACTGTAATGAGTGCATGCTGGATCCAGACTGCGGTTTCTGCTATAAGATGAACAGTTCAGTTGTCATTGATTCCTCCTGTGTTCCAGTTAACCAAGTGTCTACAAATGAGGCAGCCTGGGGCAGGTACGTCACACACTGCTTACTATGAGAATATCATTCAGTTTCTAAATGAGGATATTTTATTGGTTTACACCCATTGTACAAGACATGGATTTCGCTGTGATATTTTCATGAATATGTACAATACAGTTTGGTTATGTTATCTCTTACTTCATTCTCCTACCCTTCTTTCCCCTCCTCTGGCCACCTGCCCTTTCCCTAATAATCTCTTCTAGTTTCATATCTTCTTTTTTAAAAAATAAACATTTCAGGCCCGCAAGGTGGCTCAGCAGGTGAAAGTGCTTGCTACTAAGCCTCCCAGCCTGCCTGAGCCAATCCCCAGGACCCACGTGATAGAAGAGGCTAACCATGTGAGGGATCCTGTGACCTCCATACAGAGGCTGGCACACACATTCACACACATACAAACACACAATAATTACTTTAAAAACTAAAAGTCCAAAATCAGTGTATGAAGGATGGCATCACTGGTGAGACTGGCTTCCATGAGAAAAGGCATTATCACTGGAGAAGACTGGCTTTGTTGAGAGAAGGTGTTACCACCAGTGAGACTGAATGTCTGCTGTTCAGCATGGCTCTTCCATGTGCTCCTCAGAAAGGGCTATGCAGCATGCACTGGTGATCCAGAAATGTACAAGGAAGCTCTCAGGACCCACATGCTCAGGCCCCAGCTCAACCTCCAGGCTATTTCATTGAAGCAGAAGTTGTTTTTTTTTTTTTTTTTTTTTTTTTTTACTATCCACGGGGCAGTTTCTCCCACTCCATACTGTAATTTCCAAACTGTCATCTTCTGAACCCACATAAGACCATTGTAAAGTAAAAATAAATTAACATGCCTTTAAATCATTCATGGAGCTGTTTTCCCCTGGAGGTTTTGTGGCTCAGGGCAACTAACAAAAATCAGAATAAAAGTTGCTAATCATTAGTGGGTGGCCTGTCTGAAAGCTATCAGCATTTCTGTTTGGGACAGACCACATTGGTTTATCATGAACACATAACTAATACTTACATACAATAAGTATTTCCCACATTTAAGAGCTAGTGTTCATATCCATGAACTCAAAATATGGAAATGTATTTAATATAACTTTAACCTCTTTTTACATTTTAAATCCCCCTTAAAAATAGCGCCCCCCAACTCCTCATTATTCCACCTTTGACAAGGACAAAACTCTGTAATGCCATAGTTTGCGCATCCTAACAAGGTACACAGCATACGATAGGTACAGTCTAACATACTAGTATCAGTTTTTATGCTCCTGCCATTGATTATCTTACTATGTAATTGCTCAAGAAAGTAGAGGTAAATTTTATGTTAGTTGTATAAAACTCCAGACTACATATGGAATACACTAATTACAAAGAAATATGTGAAAAATGCAATCACTATTTAAACAAACACTTTGAGAGAAGTCTTCCAAAACACAGCAGTGCACTAGTTACCTTTATTGCTTCACGACATGTTGCCCTGACACCAGCCTCTGCATCAGCTCCTAGTCCCTTGCTGTGACAATGCATCATGGCCAAAGGCAACTCAGAGGAAGAAAGAGTTGATTTCAGTTTATGGCTCAAGGAGGATGCAAGTCTGTGATGGTGAGGGAGATTTGGCAGCAGGAAACTGAGAAGCCCCATTTTTAGTCACATAGAGAAATTAGAGTGGGAAAGGTTATAGCTTCTCAGCCCACCCCTTTCTCCAGCAAGACACCATCTCTTAAAGTTCCATAATGCTCCAAACTAATTGGGGCACTAAGCTCTGGGAGACATTGCTCATTCAAAGCAATTTTAATCATTATTTTAATGATCCCAGTTAGTTGATTCCATATTCTAGATATATCTACTTTGAGTTTCAACTCTTAGGATTTGTGCTCACCATTGGGAAAAAATAAGACTGAAAATTAGTTGCATGAAATTATGAACATGTTATAAAATGTGTGAGGACTGGGGTAATGGCTCAGCTAATAAAACTCTTGCTGCCAAAGCATGATAACTGGAATTCAGATCCCCAGATCTAACATAAAAGCTGGGTGGGCTGGGAGGCCAGCCTAGAACCCCAATGCATGAAAGTCTAGAATTGGTAGTTTCTTCATAGTCACATGTTTTTAAGGGACAAGCAGGTGTCATATATGAAAAGCAACCTGTGCTTGGCAAATTCCTACAGGCATTGATCTTGTGTTTCAGTGATTGATTTTCTGTGTAGGATACTTGTAGTAAAGAATGGCCCCTTCTAGCTATGTTTTTCATATAGTGGTACATTTACCCAATGGAGTACTACTCAGTGGTAAGAAACAACAATGACACCCTAAAATTCACAGGCATGTGGGCAGAACTAGAAAAGACCATCCTGAGTGAAATGGCCTCCAGGTTCAACACTAGACCTTGCTGCAGTATATATGTGGAAAGTGATCTAGAAATATACCCAATATTAATCTTAGATCTCCATGTGAATGTATATTTCTGCAACCTTGTACACATGTCCCCACACACACAAGTAAACATACATGCATAGAAACTAGAAACCACCATATATATGTGTGTGTGTGTGTGTGTGTGTGTGTGTGTGTGTGTGTGTGTGTGAAAATAATTTAGAAAAAAAAACTACTGTATCGCCCCATGTTTTAGGGAACTAACTTGTAAGCTGGAGAGATGGTTCAGCTAAAAGAAATGCAGGAGCTCTGCTAAAGAGGAAGAGAGTGCCAGGCCCCAGCTAGATCTGACTGTAGGTGCGGAAACATCCTGAGGCCTCTGCCAAAGTGGCCTCAGCTGGAGAGTGCCAGACCCAGGCTAGATCTGCCTATCAGAGTACTGAACATCCTGAGTCCCAACCTTCAGGATCTTTGACTCCCATCGCCACTCTTCTGCTGGAGCCTGATCTTTGGCCCCCATCACTGGGCCCCTGCCTGTGGAGAGACCACCTAGAGAGCTTGGACCACACAGAGCTATAGATATCGAACCACTGACCCACCTAAGCCCACCTGGGGAGTACCAAAGAGAGAGGGAGAGACCCCTACCAACACCTACTGGAAGAAGCTATGGGAAGACGGCAATACAAGAAAACACCTAACAACAGAAAGACAAGCATAACACTACCAGAATCTAGGGAATCTACACCAACTAGACCTGAACACCCCAGAGCAGATGAAGCAAAAGAGATCGACTTAAAAATTATCGTCATAAAAATGATAGAGGCCCTCAAAGACGATGAAAGAAAATCACTTAAAGAAATGGAAGAAAAAAAAAACAAAAAATTAGAAGAAATGAACAAATTTCTTAAAGAAAGTACATAAAGTCAAAAAAAAATTTAAGCAAGTGAAGGAAATGGTTCAAGACTTGAAAACTGAAGTAGAGATAATAAAGAAAACACAAACTGAAGGAATGCTGGAAATAGAAAAACTGGGCAAACGATCAGGAACTACAGACACAAGCATAACCAACAGAATTCAAGAGATGAAAGAGACAATCTCAGGTGCGGAAGACAAACTAGAAGAAATAGATTCATCGACCAAAGAAAATCATAAATCCAACAAATCCTTAACACAAAACATCCAGGAAATGTGGGACACCTTGAAAAGGCCAAACCTAAGGATAATAGGCATAGAGGAAGGTGAGGAAGCACAGCTCAAAGGTGTGGAAAACAGATTCAACAAAATCATCTAGGAAAACTTTCCCAATCTGAAGAAGGACATGCCCATGAAAGTACAAGAAGCATACCAAACACCAAATAGACTGGACCAAAGAAAAAAGGCCCCTCAACACATAATAATCAAAATACCTAACACAGAATAAAGAAAGAACATGAAGAGCAGCAAAGGAAAAAGGATGGGTAACATATAAAGGCAGACCTATCAAAATTACACCTGACTTCTCCATGGAAAGTCCAAAAGGTCCTGGATAGATGTCCTACAAGTACTAAGAGTTCATGGATGCCAGCTCAGGCTACTATATCAAGCAAAACTCTCAATCACTGTAGACAGAGAAAACAAGATATTTAATGACCAAAGCCAGATTTCACAATCCATATCTACAAATCCAGCCCTACAGAAATTTCTGGAAGGAAAACTCCCACCCAGGGAAGTTAACTATGCTCAAAAAAACATAGACAATAGATAATCCAGTTCATGAGAACCCAAAGGTAAAGCAAGACAAATATATTCACAATACCACCATCAACAACTAATCTAAAACAAATAAGCGTTAAAAAACCATTGGTCCTTATTCTCCCTCAACATTAATGGTTTTAACTCACCTATAAAAAAGACACAGGCTAACAGAATGGATACAATGACAGAATCCATCGTTCTGCTGCATACAAGAAAAACATCTAAGCTTCAAAGACAGACATTACCTAAGGGTAAATGGGCCCAAAAAGCAAGCAGATGTGGCTATTCTAACATCTAACAAGTTTGACTTCAAACCAAAATTAACCAAATGAGATGAAGACGGTCATTTCATATTCATCGCAGGGGAAATCCATCAACACGAAGTCTCAGTTCTGAACATCTATGCCCCAAATACAAAGGCACACACATTCAGAAAAGAAATGCTACTAAAACTCAAAGCTCACATAAAACCTCACACACTTATAGTGGGAGACTTGAACACACCACACGCACCACTAGACAGGACCACCAGTCAGAAACTTAACAAAGAAACAAAGAACTAACAGAAGTTATGTGTCAGTTGGGTTTAACAGACATTTATAGAACATTCCATCCAAACACAAAAGAATATACCTTCTTCTCTGCTTCACATGGAACCTTCTCTAAAATGAACCACATACTGGGCAACATAAGAAACCTCAACAGATTAAAAAAAAAAAAAAATGGAATAGTACCCTGTATCTTATCAGAACACCATGCTTTAAAATTGGAATTCAACAACACAACTCGCAGAAACCCTACAAACTCATGGAAACTGAACAATGGACAATTGCACCATACCTGGGTCAAAGAAGAAAAAAATGAAAGAAATTAAGGACTTCCTAAAATTCAACGAGAATGAGGACA